CTGATTCACTCGCAATCTAGATTGAGCACTGGTTCAGACGCACGCAATATTGAGCACTGCTTCATGCGCAATCAAGTTAGGAACACATCGAGCGCACTGAAGATTGATCAATGTTTCACGCGCAAAAAATATGGAGCTCTATTTCACGCGCACTGGAGATTGATCAATGTGTCACGCGCAATTAAGATGGATCACTAATTCTCGCGCACTGAAGGCTGAGCACGTATTCACACGTACTCGAGATTGAACAGTGGTTCACTTGCACTCGAGAGTGAGCACTGGTTCACGCTCACTTAAGATTGAACACCGATTCAACCGCAGTCAAAATTAAACACTGATTCACTCGCAATCTAGATTGAGCACTGGTTCAGACGCACGCAATATTGAGCACTGCTTCATGCGCAATCAAGTTAGGAACACATCGAGCGCACTGAAGATTGATCAATGTTTCACGCGCAAAAAATATGGAGCTCTATTTCACGCGCACTGGAGATTGATCAATGTGTCACGCGCAATTAAGATGGATCACTAATTCACGCGCACTGAAGGCTGAGAACGTATTCACACGTACTCGAGATTGAACAGTGGTTCACTTGCACTCGAGAGTGAGCATTGGTTCACGCTTACTTAAGATTGAACACCGATTCAACCGCAGTCAAAATTAAACACTGATCTCGCGCACTACAGACTGAGCACTATTTTTTGCGCTCTCAAGATTGAGCACTGATTGAAGCGCACTCAAGATTGAGCGCTGATTCATGCGCAATCAAGTTATAAATTGATTCTCGCGCACTCAAGATTGAGCGCAGTTTCAGGTTTCGAGGGCACTGAATATTGATCAATGTTTCACGCGCAAATAATATGGAGCTCTATTTCACGCGCACTTGAGATTGATCAATGTTTCACGCGCAATTAAGATGGATCACTAATTCACGCGCACTGAAGGCTGAGCACGTATTCACACGTGCTCGAGATTGAACAACAATTTAATCGCACTCGAGAATGAGCACTGGTTGACGCTCACTTAAGATTGAACACCGATTCAACAGCACTCAAGATTTAACACTGATCTCGCGCACTCCAGACTGAGCACTATTTTTTGCGCTCACAAGATTGAGCACTGATTCACTCGCAATCTAGATTGAGCACTGGTACACACGCACGCAATATTGAGCACTGCTTCATGCGCAATCAAGTTAGGAACACATCGAGCGCATTGAAGATTGGTCAATGTTTCACGCGCAAATAATATGGAGCTCTATTTCACGCGCACTGGAGATTGATCAATGTGTCACGCGCAATTAAGATGGATCACTAATTCACGCGCACTGAAGGCTGAGCACGTATTTCTTACGTACTCGAGATTGAACAGTGGTTCACTTGCTCTCGAGAGTAAGCACTGGTTCACTCTCACTTAAGATTGAACACCGATTCAACCGCAGTCAAGATTAAACACTGATCTCGCGCACTACAGACTGAGCACTAATTTTTGCGCTCTCAAGATTGAGCACTGATTGACGCGCACTCAAGATTGAGCACTGATTCATGCACAATCAAGTTATAAACTGTTTCTCGCGCACTCAAGATTGAGCAAAGTTTCACGCGTACATAAGATGGAGCACTGATTCACGCTTACTCAAGATTGAGCACTGATTCATGCGCAATCAAGTTGGAAACTGATTCTCGCGCACTCACGATTGAGCAAAGTTGCACACGCGTACATAAGATGGAGTACCGATTCACGCTTACTCAAGTTTGAGCTCTGAATCTTGCGCACTCAAGTTAAGAACTGATTTATGCGCATTCAAGTTTAAGCACTGGTTCACGCGCACTCAACATTGAGCGCTGATTCGCCCTCATTCAAAATTGAGCACTAATTTGTGCGCACTCAAGCTTTAGAGCGGATTCACATGCGCTCAAGGTTTAGCAGTGATTTACTCGCACTAAAGATTGAGAACTGATCCGGACTCACTCAAAATTGAGCACTGCCTAACACACACTTAATATGAAGTACTGAAAAACACGCACTGAAAATAGATTACTGGATCTCGCGAACTAAATTCAAGAACTGATTCACGTGCGCACTCACGATTGAGCAATGGTTCACGCGGACTTAAGGTTGAGCACTGATTCACGCGCACTCAAGATTGAGCACTGATCTCGCGCACTCCAGACTGAGCACTATTTTTGCGCTCTCAAGATTGAGCACTGATTCACTCGCAATCTAGATTGAGCACTGGTTCACACGAACGCAATATTGAGCACTACTTCATGCGCAATCAAGTTAGAAACAAATCGAGCGCACTGAAGATTGATCAATGTTTCACGCGCAAGTAATATGGAGCTCTATTTCACGCGCACTGCAGATTGATCAATGTTTTACGCGCAATTAAGATGGATCACTAATTCACGCGCACTGAAGGCTGAGCACATATTCACACGTACTCGAGATTGAACAGTGGTTTACTCGCACTCGAGAATGAGCACTGGTTCACGCTCAGTTAAGATTGAACACCGATTCAACCGCACTCAAGATTAAACACTGATCTCGCTTACTCCAGACTGAGCACTATTTTTTGTGCTCTCAAGATTGAGCATTGATTGACGCGCATTTAAAATTGAGCACTGATTCATGCGCAATCAAGTTATAAACTGTTTCTCGCGCACTCAAGATTGAGCAAAGTTTCACGCGTACATAAGATGGAGCACTGATTCACGGTTACTCAAGATTGAGCACTGATTCACTCGCAATCAAGTTAAAAACTGATTCTCGCGCACTGAAGATTGAGCAAAGTTTCACGCGTTTATAAGATGGAGCACTGAATCACGCTTACTCTAGTTTGAGCTCTGAATCTTGCGCACTCAAGTTAAGGACTGATTTACGCGCATTCAAGTTTAAGCACTGGTTCACGCGCACTCAACATTGAGCGCTGAATCGCCCTCATTCAAAATTGCGCTCAAGATTTAGCAGTGATTTACTCGCACTAAAGATTGAGAACTGATTCAGACTCACTCAAAATTGAGCACTGCCTAACACGCACTTAATATGAAGTACTGAAAAACACGCACTGAAAATTGATCACTGGATCTCGCGAACTAAATTCAAGAACTGATTCACGTGCGCACTCACGATTGAGCAATGATTCACGCGGACTTAAGGTTGAGCACTGATTCACGCGCACTCAAGATTGAGCACTGATCTCGCGCATTCAAGATTGAACACTAAATCACTCGCAGTCAAAATTGAGCACTGATTCACGCGCACACAATATTGAGCACTGATTCACGTGAAATCAAGTTAAGAACGAGTCACGCGCCCTCAAGGTTGAGCTTTGGTTCCCGCGCAGTTAAGACAGAGCACTGATTCACGCTTTCAAGATTGAGCACTGATTCACGCGCAATCAAGATTGATCACCAATTCACGCCAACTCAAGACTAATCACTGATTCACGCGCATTAGACATCTCTCCCTGAAAGTAAGCACAGCGCAGCAACTGCCGCTACTTGCCAAGACTTCGGTTGAATTACCACCTGATGCGAATTGCCGCCCAGTACAAACGATTGTCCAAATTTTTTTAAAAACTCAAGTGAAAAGAAAATTAATCGCTTCTTTAAGAAAATTATGTTTTCATTTCCTAGTTACCCAAAACTCATCTTTTCTATTTTAGCCGACAAAATTTCATATTTTTCCCGTAAAAAAACCTTAATAGTTGTTTTAGTCTATTTTTTTAAATTGCCTCCATCACAAAAAAATGGGGCTGAGATGGGTTTTAGTTGAGCTCGGAAGATTCAGTTCAAGTGGTTCTGAAAAATTTGAATATAAAAATTGGTGGTTTCCAAAGCAAAGTTTGCCTGTGAACAATTAAGATGGACTGATCCAAAATGTTCTAAGGTTCTTCGAAAAAGTTATCGAATTTTTCTGCGGTCAACAAAATTGATTTTCTGAACTCATAATACACATTCGAAGTATTTCTTGCCAAATTCTTGCACATTTACTGGAAAAGCCAAAAAGCTTTTTTAAAACATTTTTATGTGATTGTAAATCATGGCTTAGTTTTTTTGAAAGATTATAAAGGTGTCATATCTTGTAAAAACAAACAAAAGAGACTGGTTTCAAGAACTCAGGTATTCTGATTTTTGTTCATTTTGTGTGAAACTACTGTGCCTGGACTACGCTTGAGGCAAATTATTCCAATTTCTGAAAAGGGTGGTTTGTGCATAAAAACCAATTGGCAACCAAAAAAGATTACATACACACATACATACATACACACATACTTACATACATACACGCATACATACATACATACAAACATACATACATACATACATATATACATTCATACACACATACATACATACATACATACATACATACATACATACATACATACATACATACATACATACATACATACATACATACATACATACATACATACATACATACATACATACATATTTTTAATCCCGTACTTAAGTTCATTACAACTTGATTTGAAGCTGGCCTGGCTGCTTAATGTTATAGGTTCCCTATACGAATCTACGATCATCAAGTTTGTGCATTTACTATCGTATTTCGGCTGGTGAAAAAAAACAAAGATATGTTCTATATCAATTTTTTTGTTGCCAAAAACTATTCGAGCCCAGTTAAAGAGCAGTTGAGTAGTCGACAAACATCATTAAAACTTTTTGGACAAAATCGATCATTTTGCCAAACAAAGTCAGATAGATTGGAAGAAACTCGAGCAAAATTGAACAAATTTGGACAGAACTCAAGTTGAAGTTGGATATAGCTGAAAACATTCATTGTTCGCCTCAAAACGGACATCGTTTGACTCGAAAAGTTGAAAACGGATTTTGTTCGGCTGTTTGGGTCAAATCATGATTTGAAGATTTCTTCGTAAATTTGATATAGCACCATTGAATATCTTTTAATTATCAAAAATTTAATTGGAAAGGATTCAAAACATAATGGTAAATCTATTTCTTTTTTCAAGTACTATTACCATCGCTGAGTTGGTGCACTCGGTTCCACCAGGACGAGTTCCACACAGATGCCCCGACTGAGGACTGGGAGTCTCTGGTGTTCTGGATATCAAACAGTTTAAGCGTTTTGGGGAAAGCTTGTCGACATGTGAGGTGAATAACGTCTCAAATGTCGACTCAATAACCATCAGTTGAACGAAAAATTTTGAGATCTTAATTAATAAAAAAGCTCTTCCCTAGCACAAAATGTCTCAACCTTTGCCAAAGAAGCAATTTTAACGCGAAACTTAAAACCTCAGTGGGAAACTACTCATAAAAGGTTCTAGAAGTTTTAGATTTTGAAAACAAGGTTTGAGTTTTACATGACATAAAATAATTGAGCTCGAAATTTTCACTTGTTTTCAAAAAACTTTTTTTTGTGCGCAAAAAAATCGATTTTTGACCTTACACCTTTTAAAGCTTTAATTGCGCACTAAGACATCCTTGGCTTAAATTTATAAAGTTGCAGCCAGTATTACTGCCTGGACGCCTACCACACAGCCAGTCCTATGCACTTCGGACTGAGTTTCCTTCCAGACTTCAATCTGAATCCGAGGTTGTTGGAGCCAGACGCAGCCAGGGCGTGGTTCAAGATACTCATCCAAAACAAGTGGCTGCATATCAACATGATCAACCCATACAAACCAAGTTGGCTTCACTTTTATCACTTTTGATTCAAAAACAACCTCTTCATAAATTTACTTTAGCGTTACTTTCAGCTGAATCTGTATTCACGTACATTCTACCCAACACCTTTTTAGCATTACAGCCATCGGCAACCAAATGACCATGTTGTAAAGGTCGTTTAACTCAATATGAAATGCTTCACGCTCTAAAAATTCTTGCCAGCGACAAAAAATTCGAATCAATAAGAGGTTCAGTGGCGGATCTAGGATTTTCTGGAGGGGGGGGGGGGGGCGGATTTTCAAACAATTTTCGACAACTTCGCCGACCTTTTTTTTTAGGTCGACCGAATTGATTTTTCGGGCTCTCCCTAAGCAGGTTTAGTCCCTGTTTTGGCCAAAAATTTTGCGCCGCAGGCGAACTTTTGAAAAACAGTCCAAAAAAGGCGTTTTTAGGGGCACTTTTTGGGAAATTTTGACCAAAAAATCGCGTTTTTTCGGCACGCGCTCCCCCCTCAAAATTAGTATATATTGGCGCCAAAGGCGCCTTTAGAAAAATTTAATGGTCGGTCGGCTGAAAATGGATTTCTAAAAAATACCAAAGGGGGGACCCTTTGGGTCGGCACGAGGTCGAATCCCTGAGGAGAAGGCGTCCAACAACCGCCCCCCCCCTAAATCCGCCCCTGAAGAGGTTCATGCCAATTTATAAAAGATGAAGAGCAGCTGGGTAAAAATTAGTTGCTGATTTAGCTAATGTATTCATTAGAATTTTGGTTTAGAAGACTGCTGTAAGTGGCACGTGGACAAATATATGCTCTATGGTCTGTTGCACAAACAGTACAACCCCGATGAGTACATGCACAAACTCACTGACTACCGGAATGAAAGCAAACAACTCAACCTCATTGTGGTAATGAGACTTTGATCACTGTTTAAAAACTAAGACTAGCTAACATAAATTTTGCGCAAAAAATTCGAATAAAATTGAAACAAAAAAAAACGAAAAACTAGAAAAATCAAATTAGCATCAAGGTTTCGTTTTTTGGGATTTTTCCGCTTTTTGTGACCTTTTAGAGTTTTTTTGTGAACGTGAATCAGTAAATTATGCCAAATTGTATCAATGTATGGCTATTGTTAAGAAACTGATATCTTCTAGTCGCGGGGGAGTTATCAGAAGGATTTCTACAGTTAGTTCACTTTTTGTTAAAATTCAGCAAATGCGAAGCAACCAAGTTTTTTTTGCTTAAAACTATTTAGATTTTTGGGTTTTCGTTACATTAAAAAATAAGTATTGAAGAAGAGACTTTTATTGTTATATTCAGAATTCACAACAAAATTGGCTGGTAGGCACTCATTGTCTACATACAAATGTACAATAGTGCACGTCATAATAGCGTATATATTATTGGGTATAAATATGTACGACAACAGAAATACTTTTTTAATTTGTCATAAAATCGTTCCAGCTTTCCCAAGTTTGTGTAAAAAGGAGACGTTAGAAAAATTCAAGATAAAACTCATAGCGAGTTTTTTTAAAACGTCCCAGAAATAACACGGGGTTCTTCATTTTTTTCTTAAGATTGATCCATCAAACAACTGTTTTATGAAAAAGTTCGGTTATTTGAGATTTCGGTATTTGTTTGATGAGAAGTAAATCTATTCTTTGGTTTTCAAAAATTCTTCTAAGTTTTTTTTGAAAATCATCCTACCACACGCTATTTAAAGCACATAATAAAAAACTTTGCGCACAGCTAAGCTTTAAATGGACCAAAGAGCATGCGTCGGTCCATATTGGAACAACTGCTAACACGGATTAAACCTCCGCTCACGCGTTAAAACCACGAATTATATAGTTCTAATTGGTCAAAAATGGCCAAATTGGTAACTTCTAAGCCCACGTAACTTGAGGAAAAAGTTGAAGGTGAATTACTATAAATTTTTTAAATTTGAGCTAAGAACAACAATACTTCTCGAATGAAATGGAGTAAAAAATTCCATCAAAAAGTCGAATTTTGTCTTGAGAAAAAAACCATACCCGAGCACAGATATTAGTCAATTTTGTGGCATGAGAAAATCTTGACTCGGAATTCATCCCGCTAAAACAAATAAGCTTGTTTCTTATTCAGGCTACTTATGTGCCAATCTTGTGCGCCAACATGATCCTCGAAGTCGGCTTCGGTCACGGAAAACTTCGGCGAAGTCATCATCCTGCTGTGAAAGAAGGATCCCCCTACTTTCTACTCGGCCGAGAGTACGAAGACCTCGGTCTAAGAGATGTCGACACCAAATCTTTCAGTTATCATAATATAACAGAAGAGCTGACATTTCATTGGTTCAAACACAGCATCATGTGTCGAGATAATAAATGGATATGTGAGGAAGATTCTCCAAACTCGCCGAGTGGTAGCAAGAGTGGTGGTTCGAATGATGGAAGAGGTGACAAGTCTTCTGATGGTCTGAGGAAAAACAACAAGAAAAAGAAAGGGCGAGGTTTGCTATAGAGAAAAGAGTGTCCAGTCATCATCGAGGAATCTCCATGGAAAAGATCTACGTGTGTCCAAAACTTGAATATGTTTTTTTTTGGTTAAATAACTGTTAAATTTTTTAACGATAGGAATTAGAGGGCCCATTTTTATACAACATATGTATTCACTGATTGTATTCAGTTTTATAAAAAAGTTCAATTTATTTATGGTTATTTTGGATTAACGTAGCGCGTCTAATGTAATTGATTTCGCAATTTGTTGAATTTCGAATATCAGATATCGTAAAATAAATTTAAAAAATTAAGGATAGCTGGATGCTGTGCAAGTAGCCCAGAAAGTTACGACCACAAAAACATTTTTTAAACTTTAAATTGTGTTGTTTTTTGAGTCTTAGGCTACAAACTTAAAAATATATACCTGAATGACAATCGATTGCTTGTTGACATGCTAATAGGATGATTATTTGTGGCATCCAAAGGTGCAACTCTAATAACTCTGTTTTTGCCTTCACTTATTTACCTAGGTTTCCATCGGGTTACTGCCAGTTGGGTTGTACTGCCCGTGCAGTAACCTTGATGCAGTTTATTAGTTCAATAATGTTTTCTAAACTGTATCTAAATTCAAATTCAAATTCAAATTCAAAAATTCAAGCTGATACAAGCAAAACGCTACAAAATAGTTACAATTAATATTAAGAGCAAACTCAGTTTAATTGATCACAATTTTTTTTGTTAAAGTTTTAACAAAAAACTGTGATCAAATAAGCTCAATTTGCTCTTAATACTAATTGTAACTATTTTGCATGCAGAATGTTTTTTTTTTCGCAAAAATTTATATTTGAGCACAAAAAAACTGCAACCAAAAAGGGATAAAAATTTTTTACCTCAAACTTGTGTTTGTGCTTATGAAAAAATGCATATCATACATTTTTCATATATGAAACTTATATGAGAAGCATTTTTTTTGACCAAAATTAAAATCATGTTTTTGAGAGTCAAAATGCATTCTTTCAAAATTTTTTTAAACTCATGTAAATTTATCCAGAAACATCGCTAAATTAATTTTGAAGATTTAATTTTTTCTATAGCAAAATGCTTATCTTACAATTTTCATATATAAAAATATTATGATAAGCATTTTTTTGAAAAAAATCAAAATCATGTTTTTATTGAGCAGAAAGATTCAAAAGATGGAAATAGAACAGAAGTAATTCTCTAAAAACGTTTAATATAGTTTTTAAATTTTGTATGATCATTATTATTAGATCAAATTTAATATTAGATCAAATTTATACAACTAAAGCTTTATTATTAGATCAAATGTATACAACTAACGAATTATGTCAAACAAAATGGTTTCTCATGATTTTATTCAAAACTAATCGTGAAGTCGTGCTAATTTTGACAAATGTTATTTTTTTAAATTTTCATCAAAATGTGGAAAATTTGAACAAAATATATTCTTATGTATACTTTTCAGAGTAATAACAACCATAAATGTGGACTAAACTTAAGGCAAGTTATCTCTTTGTAAAATAAGTACAACTCCCTACAATATTTGTTTATAGATGTGATATCTGCCAGAAGAACACACCATACTTAGGAAAATATGTAACCAAAAGCATAAGCATGGTAGCGTTAGCATATGGATTGCGCACACATCAAAATATAGGAAAACGTTTTTGTCATTGTCGACGCAGGAGCTTGTGAGTTATGTACTGTTGACTGTACTCATAGAGTAATTTCAGATGAGGTACACCGTCTGCTCGTCACGCATCATATTTTCGGCCGGTTAGATTTGTGCAACTTCTTAGTCTAATACCGATCTTAATCTTACTATTATATCTCCTAGTCTGAATAGAACTAGTGTATACTGGTTTATGCGAGTTAGTTTCCAGGAGAACAACAGTATTTTAAGTTTAATTCGAATTGCTCTGGTGAAACTACAAGTAGTTTCAGCACTTACAAATAAGTGTAAACGTTTGAGATGGAATATGATTGGTTAGTTAGGACTATTTTATAGAAATAGAGAATCATAGTTATCTCCAATTATAAATTATAGTTTAGAACTGGTTACTTGCTGAATTGAAGCTATCCCGACTAACAATATAATTAGTCTGACAGTCGAGAAGTACCTGTCAGCAGTCTTTGCCAAACTTGGTTTACCAAAGCTCTAGTCTCTGCTCATGTAACCGAATTTGTTACTCAAAGTTTTCAAGCTTCTTACAAATCTCCGATCTATACCCACAATTGAAAAGACTGACCCAAATATGTCCAGACAGTCAAAAATCAGGAACATCTATCTTGAATTATCTTGAATTACTTTTTCCGCAATCTTCAAAGTCTATGGTTGACTGCAATTTGTTTTTTTTTAGCAGGTACGCGTTCTCCAGTTGTGTTACTTTTGATTT